TATTAAAATACAATAGTCCTTCAGATATTTCCTTTAATAACTGGCTGGCTTCTGATTTTTTGTAATGCATCCCAATGCAGAAGGCTCTGTGTCTGTTGAGAGGCATTAGCTTCTAATACCAGTTTCACTTATTTGGTGGTTAGACTGAATTAGTGAAGTCAGGGTACAGAGCTCTTCCATTGAGAGCTAATCTCGTGTGAGAGAAATACCCAACAATGGCGGTGTTCATTTAAATATTGAATGTCGCTGTTCTGCCTGAAAACTATTTCTTCACATTTCATTTTCTTTTCATTTGTCATAAACCTTAAAAATATGTTCAGTCCTTTAATAAAGCTAATCATAATACAGTAATTATATGAATCATGCTATGATTTTATGAAATCCAACAACGGCTCAGACTTTGACAATGGGATGAAGATACTTTCAAATGAATAATAGAGAGAGGTTCAACATTTTTCCCCCGCTGGGACTTTTGTGCGAGTCAGTTACCAGAACAGTCATATTTGGCATCATAACAGACCCTCCTACCCACTCCAAAAATAATCTTATCATATAAGATATCAATTGCTCTTTTTACACACAGGCAAACCTTGTATGCAGTTATGCAGACTTCAGCTGTAGAGCTCTACTGAAACTCATTTCACCAGCAACTGACCTGAAATGTGCATATCAAAAAACATCCATGGTTCAGTGCATGTGCATCTGACATAGCACAATCCTAACCATGTCTACTCAGAAGTAAGAGCTACTGAATTCAGTGCAGCTTATTCCAAGATCAGCGGGTTTGGTATTGCAACTTAAAATTCTATCATGTTGGAAGAGGATCAGATTTTCCTGCTGAAAATGTCACAAAGTATAGAAACATGCCAAAGCAGCCACGTTAAACTTGGATTGGGCTGTGCATTATGGTTGCCAAAGCTTGCTGAGCCTTTTATCCTTATATGGGCTTTTTCTCACTGCTATTGGTCAAGAGTAAAGGGAGAAAAGAAGAGGGGAAAGAAGAAAACAGAGCAGGAGAAATGGCCATTATTATTATTATTATTATTATTGACTGAATGAATGATTGATTGATATACTACTTATATGTCAAATTGGCTTCTAAGCGATTTAGAACTATAAAATCATTACATAATTAAAACAGACAATATTAAAACATATCCTTGATTAAAATATACAATAAAATGAACAGTTAAAGAATATTATAATTAAAACATTTAAAACAATACAATCACAAGTTCAGATCTGGGGAATGCTTGTCTAAAGCATTCAGGAGCCTACGGAATGCCAACACTGATGGGGCCTCTGGTATTTCAACAGGGAGGACATTCCACAGAACTGGTGCCACTAGTGAAAAAGCCCACAAGCTGAATTGGCTGGTGGTCATCAGGCCGCAGCAAAACTAATCAGGTTCCATTAGCTGATCATAAGTGCCCTAATAATAATAATTTATTAATTACACCCTGCCCATCAGGCTGGGCTTCCCCAGCCACTCTGGGCGGCTTCTAACAAAATATTAAAATACAGTAATGCATCAAACATTAAAAGCTTCCCTAAACAGGGCTGCCTTCAGATGTCTTCTAAAAGTCTGGTACTTGTTGTTCTCTTTGACATCTGCTGGGAGGGCGTTCCACAGGGCGGGTGCCACAACCGAGAAGGCCCTCTGCCTGGTTCCCTGTAACTTGGCTTCTCGCAGTGAGGGAACCGCCAGAAGGCCCTCGGTGCTGGGACTCAGTGTCCGGGTAGAACGATGGAGGTGGAGACGCTCCTTCAGATATACTGGACCAAGGGCTTTAAAGGTCAGCACCAACACTTTGAATTATGCTCGGAAACATACTGGGAGCCAATGTAGGTCTTTCAAGAGGTAAGGTAAGATGGCCCAGAGTTCTTCAGGGATTTGTATGTTATTAGCAGAAGCTTAAAACTGGCTTGGTGACTAATAGGCAGCCAGTGCGTATATCCTCCAGCACTGGTGTGATATGTGCCCAATAAGGAACACCACTCACTACTTGGACTGCAGCACTCTGCACCAGTTGCAGCCTCCAGAATGGGCGCAAGGGAAGCCATGCACAGAGCACATTACAACAGTCCACTAAAGGATGGGTCACAGTGGCCAAGCTATCCCTGACCAGGAAAGGGCACACTCTTCTCACCTCACAACGCAAAGCTGAGCCTGCTAAAATGTGCTCCTGAATGTGCTCTATTCCAGGTATTGGAGTCCAAGTATCCTTTTCTAGAGAGAGAAGGTGAAAGAAAGACATATATGGGTGTGTGTGAAGGGACTGTACCCATATTGCAATTTGCAGGGTCTACTCCGAAGGATAAAGCTATAGTAAACTGGCTACCTGGCCAAGCCCCTGCCCCCTGCCATGCACACGCAAACACACAGGGTAGAATAAAATCTTCCCATGTCTGGGAGCTACAAATGTCTCAATCAGATGCATCGGAGCCTAAAAAGATGCCTGCCTGACAACTCCAAGGTGGCATATGGATGCACATCCATTCCCATGCATTTTTTATATGTGACTAACTGCTCCCAACTTCAGTTTGGAGCTGGAAGCTGACACTAACAGAGCAGTTGGTGCAGGCTCTGACTCATGGTTTTGGAACAAGCAGGAGGAGCTGAGACATCCTCAATAGCCTGAAGCGTTAGCCTTAAATTAAACCTCTGTTCCTTAGAACAGCTTGAAAAATAAAAAACGGGAGAATTAAGCATCCTTCAAGGAGTTTCACAAGCTCCCAACAGATATATTAAAGCGGGGGAGGGGGATGAGAAAGAGGGAAGGACAAGTCTCCACAAAAAACTTTTGAGAAAAATAACTATTCATGGAAAGATACACACACACAAAAATAAGGATATTGTTATCATTATTGCTTCAGGGTAGAACTTGGCATCATAAACATAGGTTTTCTGGCAAAAAATACGGTAATAATAATGCAACCCTATATCAAACCCAATCTCCTTAGCCCATGAGATTGTATTCAACGCAGCACTGAGGATAAGCGTCCGCCGACACAAGGATTTTCCTTGTTCTGGGGAAACGCGTAGGAGTGGGAGGAGAGGGGGGAAATTCCTGTTGTATTTATAGTGATCCTTGCACTGGGTTCCACTAGCACAATAAACTAGTTCAGGCATAGGCAAACTTGGCCCTCCAGATGTTTTGAGACTACAATTTCCATCATCCCTGACCACTGGTCCTGTTAGCTAGGGATTATGCAAGTTGTAGTCCCAAAACATCTGGAGGGCCGAGTTTGCCTAAGCCTGAGTTAGTTGAATACAGCCCATAAAGTGATGTCATAATTTCTAGTTCCATCCTCATCTAAGAAATTTATCTGATTCCAGAATCTCTTAGGGCTACCATGCACAGCAGTCCCAAGATTAGTCCCCAATATATTAGGATACAACTACTAATATACAGTATGTTTCCAAGCATAATTCAAAGTGTTTGTGCTGACCTTTAAAGCCCTAAATGGCTTTGACCCTACATACCTGAAGGAGGGTCTCCAACCTTACCATCCAGCTCAAACACTGAAATCCAGCTCCAAGGGCTTTCTGGCAGTTCCCTAATTGTGAGAAGTGAAGTTACAGGGAACCAGGCAGAGGGTCTTTTCGGTAGCCGCACCTGCCCTGTAGAACGCCCTCCTGTCAGATGTCAAGGAGATAAAAAAAACTATCTGACTTTTAGAAGACATCTGAAGGCAGTCCTGTATATGGATTTATTTTTTAATGTTGATATCTTACTGTGTTTTAATTTGTTGGAAGCCACACAGAGTAGTTGGGGCAACCCAGTCAGATAGGCAGCAATTATTATTATTATTATTATTATTATTAGCCATCTGACTTTTATATATACCTGTATATATACTCTATCCCTTCCCTCATTCTCTCTTCTGGTGGAGGAACATTTCTTCTGATGAAATAGGAACAGATACTGATGTGGAAGAAGCTTTGATGATAATTGATTATTAAGCAAAATATATTTTGCTAGTGCATTATAAGCTCAAGAGTTTTCTGCTGTAGAAACACATCAAAGCAATGAGGGGCTTGTGTTGTACATCATCCAAAGGTGACAGTCTTTTGGACAATGTTTATAATAAGAGTTGCTTTGATTAAAAAAGAATATGGTGAGTAATGATGGATGGCAGGCTTACAGCCTAAGAAATAAAGGAACAATAAATGTCCTGCATTTTCTGGAAAGGGTAATTCAGTAATCCAAATATACACCTGGATAGCTATGTCAGACTTAATCAGAACAGGGAGTACTAGAAAGAGGAGAGTGCGTTGCTTAAGTAATTTTCCATGAAAATACATACATACAAATACATGTGTCATTGTGCCAATACATAATCTTCTATTTATATAAAACAAAAGCTTTGTCAGTAACTTGCTTTTGCTGTCAGTCTGGCTAAACATCAGACAGGAAGCATATTTACCTGAAAATTGATTACAATGGGTTGAATATTTTTCAGTTCCATTCAGGATCCTTTCACGCACAGAGAGAGAGACAGACAGACAGACAGACACAGACACAGACACAGACACGATCATGACTGTCTCACTGGGTTTGACAAAGGTTTATTTTGCCTATCCATCATAGTGGGTCTATCAGTCGCCTGAAATATATATCTCAAGCTCACAATGTCTGATAATCTTATACCTTGTGGTTTCCTGCCTCTGCACACGGTTTCCATTGTAACAAGCGTCATGGCTAGCCTTTGACAGTCCTATCCTTGATTGTTTTTCTTAAATAATAATCATAATAAATTTTTATTTGTATCCCGCCCTCCCTGGCCGAGGCTGGACTCAGAGCGGCTAACATCATAAAAACAACACAATATGCATAAAAACAGACATCAATTAATTAAAATACATCTTAAAATTAATTCAGACATGTTAAAATCTGGGCAGGTGGCAATTACGGTATCAGGTTGGAATTGAGAGTGGTTAATATAGAGCCTAGGGCTTGCCGATCAAAAGGTTGGCGGTTCAAATCCCTGCAACTGGGTGAGCTCCCGTTGCTCGGTCCCTGCTCCTGCCAACCTAGCAGTTCGAAATCACAGCAAAGTGCAAGTAGATAAATAGGTACCGCTCCGGCAGGAAGGTAAACGGCATTTCCGTGCGCTGCTCTGGTTCGCCAGAAGCGGCTTAGTCATGCTGGCCACATGACCCGGAAGCTGTACGCCGGCTCCCTCGGCCAATAAAGCGAGATGAGCGCCGCAACCCCAAAGTCGTCCGTGACTGGACCTAACGGTCAGGGGTCCCTTTACCTTTTAATACTTGCCAGGACCAACGGTTTCCACTGTTAAAAATCATACAAGGACCTGTGAGCAGGTCGGGGGCTACTGGCTACAAACTCAAAATTACACTGGGATTTCAGTTTACCAGCTTCCCAATTCCTAAGGTGGGAGGAAAGCTGCAATCTGCAAGAACTTCCTAACCAGAATCATCTTTACCACAGTGAAGCCTACACAATAGGTGGACTTTAAGAAGGGCACGTGCCAGAGGTCCCACCTGGAAATCTAAGAAACTGTTATGGGCACCACAAAATACCCACATCGCAGAATAAATACTAGCAATGCTCCAACAACCACAACCTGCTAAACAAATAAGCGGACAGCACCTCCAAATGCCAAATGTATCATGGTCAGGTTTTGAGAACATCTGAATAGAATTGTCTTGTTGAATACTCAATGGGACAAAACAATAACAGGTCACAGTTTTAGAGGGAGAGTAAGATTTCCTAGAATGCAGCACAATTTAATCCATCCCCAGGACTAATACATAACTATTCTGGTGCCCATTTTTCAAATTGCAAGCAAAACAACATATTCTGGTAAATCAAGCTAATCATAGCAGAGAGCAGTAATATTCAAGGGAACATCAGCTTCTTTGCTATTCAGACAAGATTAAGAGCCTCCATTCCTCCATGGAGTGTGCCAGTCTTCAAAAACCAAATATATCCACTAGAGAAGCTGAACCCACTTCCTTCACCAGCAGCCTCTATTGCAGCCTAATTCAGACAAACAGGCATTATGCAGTAAACACTTTAACCTCAACGATTTAAAGACTGTGCTTTTTGGCAACACGGTTTGTGTGTAGCTGCTGCTCACCACAAGATCTGAGTATAATCAGCAAATGACTACAAATTGATTGCAAAAATAAGATGCAAGGGTATGGCAAAACAAAAACCACCCCTTTATGGATACACATTGAAAGAGGCTGCATCTGAATATTCCCTCTGCAAATCATTTGCTTTTGTGTGTGGACTGGGCTTCTGAGAAAGAAAGAAAAACACCATTTAAAAAGCTGGTCTTCTAGCACTTGTCAACAAATAATGTTCGAACAACAATTTGATGGACTGGCCTGCGTGCAATTAAGCATGCCTTTGGGACATTCTCTACCACAAAAAATGTCACATTGCTTTTGCTAATGCACATTACATAACAGTTATTTAGTGTGTATATTGTACTTTTGAACATTCCAGGCGTTTCGCATACATTGTCTGCATTCATACACAATGTTATGGTAAATCATGCTTTGCTTTGACTGTGGTTTATTAAACATGCCAGGATCTGTGTCACAGATGAGAACGGAAACTGTAGCTTGTTTCCTCTAAGGTTAGTTTGTCTCCCTCCCACCCCCTGCAATATCTGGTTAAGACCTCAAATGCATTTGTAGCAGTCACAGACTAACAAAGCTTCAGTGCATCACCAGTTTGCTTATCTCAGAGTGGCTGTAGAAATGGAACAGAGAACACAAAAGTTCTCCACCTCAGAGATCTTTGACTTCTCTCAGCATGCCCTGAGATAAATGAGGGCGAAAACTATCTCCCATTGCACTCCTAGCCACAGATTTTTAACTCTTTCCTAGCACCCCACCAGAACAGCAACTCTCCCACTCTAAGTCCCTGCATCCCCACGGACTATTTATGAAACTTGCTAACACCCAAAAAGGTTAAAGGTCATAGGGGGACATGTTGATATTCCTCCAGTACACACTCAGTCGCCCCTCCTTCCCTACTTTTCTGAGGTCAACAAATGAGATCATAGTGAGAATTTATATGGGAAACGTGCTGGTTCAGCTCTTAGCCACTGCAGCTCTCTGCATATGCAAGATCTAGTACTATTGTTTTCCAAAACATAAGCTCTCCCTATGCCTTCATGCACCACTACTGGGTCGGGAAATGTAACTTGGGAACCAGCATTGGCATAGAAAAACCCACCGGAAAATAACTGTGCCATTGAGGGCATCCAACACCTCTTAGAGGCAATGAAGGATCTGCAATAATCAGTGTTTTGCAAACCCTGTGCCTAGGCAACTAGAGCCTACATAGAAGCAGTTTTGCATAGTAAGCGAGACAGATGTGGGTGGATCTGCCCTACTTATCAAGTTCAAGGTGCTGCTGTAGCTGTGATGGAACAAGCCACTGTTTCAGCTGCTGGAGCTAAGTAGCTGTATCTGATGAGGCTCAACAATTCCAGGAGCGTCACTTGTCAGCTACACTAAGTCTCCATTCACTTTAAACTGAGGACTTCAAGAATCAAACTGCCATAATAATAAAAAGAAAGAAAGCAAAGAGCAGAAATAAATGGTCAGTTCTGAGTATAGCTCAAGGTAATCACCGCAAGCCTTCAGGTTTCGTGCCAGAGCTTATTTGCGGACTGCAAAACAAGAAGAGGATAAAAATTTACTGATAACTCAATTTTGTTTTGGTTGACAAAATGGAACAGGCAGAAAACCTCTTGAGTGACATACTTGAGTGATGGGTAAATATGAATATTGAAAAGAAGAAGAAAAGCAATGGTTGCCCATCATTTGAAGTACATTTGAAGTAATACCAATACCAACATTCAGAAAAAAGGTGGGCAGTGCACTTATTCCACTTTAGAATTCATGTGTGGGTATTATACATTCGATTATATGTTTTGTTGTGGGAAACCTTCCATTCCGCTATGAGAATTTTGTCAGTTAGGGACAGGCTGCACATTCGATTTGCACACAGAAAGCTAGCATTTCTAGCATAGCATATTATTTGTGCAATACGTAAATGCACTCAAATATATATAAACAGCCTATATTCACTACACTTCCCTTACTCCCTCAACCACTGATTTTCTCCCACACTGATTTTCATTCAGTTTCTGGTTATCAATACTGTGGCTATTTTGAAGAAAGACATCGTAATCCTTCCTTTTCTTTTCCCTTTAGCTTAAAGGCAAGAAAGAACGCAAACAGGGAGATATATAAGCAATTCAATAGGGGAGGTCAGATCTTATACTCTGCCTGGCTTATTTTTCCTAAGTAAACTCTATTCCACAAGCGCTTTTAGATATTTTTTCTGCCCCATCAAAACAGAAGAAACTCTGGATTAGTTTTATCTGTAAATTTATAACTCCACAGGGAAATGAGATAGAACAGTGCCTATATGAAGAAGCTGGGTTTGTGAATGGTTTAGCTGCAGTTCATCAGACTTGGGCTATGTCTGTAGTGGCGGATTTCCTGATTAGATTTTGTTTGTGTGTGTGCTTTTCCTTGCCAAACAGACCAGGAAAAAGTCTGCTTTTGTCCCTTTAACAGCTATTTGCTGTGCAGAAATCAAAAGGTGAAGCATTGCATGGCACAGAACTAAACTTTACCCATAGGAAACTGCCATGTGCTGAGTCAGATGATTAGTCTTTCTACGCCGGTATAGTCTACACTGTAGGGCTGGTTCTCAACATTGTGATATATCAACAGCTAAACATTATGATATATCACGATGTCCGAAACAAGGATGAAGCTATGTAGAGAGGAACAGTAAGGCTGGGCGATACCTGGTTTTCAACATTGTGATATATCACCAGCTAAACATTGTGATATACTGATGTATCACAATGTTTGAAGTAAGAATGGAACTATGTAGAGGCACTGCCTGGCTTCATGGTTTTTCCCACATTGTGATTTTTGCATCACACACACACACAAACCATGATTTGTGATATATTGCCTGGTCAAAAACTATGAGACCGATATCATGATGTGGACTTCAAACCAGTTTTGGACAATATATCGATATATCGCCCAGGCCTACTACACGAGGATGGTTTACATGACATGCTAAGCCAAACTATGGCTTATGGGGACCATGCAAATGAGCAGGGGGTCCAAAAAGGAGCCCACAGCTGCTTTGCTTTTTTCCCTTGTCCTTTTTCCTGCTGTGCTTTAAGCCTCAGATACAGCTCATGGATAGTGAAAGCAGAGTTAAACAACGAGTCTCTGTTAGGACAGCATGATAGGCCAAGTGCAGCACAGTTTGAGAGCAAAAAGGACCAGGGGTGAGCAAAGTGACTATGGGTTCTACTAAAGGCACCTGCACATTTGTGTGGTCCTGCTATAGCATACTTTGGCTTACCTGTGTCAAGCAAACCAGGCCACTGGCCAGCAGTAGCTCTCCAGGATTTTAGACAGACATCTTTGCAAGACCTACCTGAAGATGCTCCAGGGATTGGACCTGGGACCTTCTGCATGCAGAGACAGCGTTGCCTTTACTACCAAGACATGAACCTTCCTGTACTGTCTGCCCATGACTGTAGTTCAAACTACTGTTAAAGGAACAGCTACAGGAGCCAGTTCAAAGTTGCCATGCACCTTTCCATTTTTGTATCCACATAAATGGATATAAAGCAAGGGCTTGCTTGTCTATCACCCTCCTAAATCTGTTTGCAGAATGTGCTTGTGTGAAAGCAGAACTGTGCAGCCAAGAAACAAGAAGGAAGGGAGAGAGGCAGAAGCCAGAATTAAAATGCCAGGGAATAATTTGTGCCAGAGAAAGTGATCTGTGGCTGAGGGACAGAGGGCAAAGAGGCCCACTCAGCTTACAACTCCCACAAGAACGCAACAGCAACAACCACAGGAGCAAAATGCACTGCCCACAGTCAGTTGTTACATCTAAGACTGAAGCAGTAAAACTAAAGCCCCTCTTTTGTCCAGATAAGATTTTGGTGTGGTCGTTCAGCAGCTACTGTTAGCAGCAGTGCTTTATGCAGATGCTGATGGCTAGAAGTGTGACAAATACATATCAAAGGCAGATTAGCTTTCGTTTAAAAAGCTAGTGTGGACAACCCTTATCAGCTTAATCCAAGTCCTTCATTTTAAATGGCTGAGATAAATACCTAGGCAGCAGGAAAGGTTCGCCAGAGAGAGACTAGACTAACGTTTAAGAGAATAATTTCAACTGCAGTCATTT